ATATATATATATTTGGACAACAAAATGGCAACCAAATATTACCTCTATTCATTACAATGGATTAACAGTAAAAGTATCCTGATTGGTTAATAATTTAGATTAATTAAATCACAGTGTTTTAATATCATGCGCTTCAAAAAGCCAAAGGAGACACATGAAAGCACCACTTGTGGCTCAAGCCTCAATCACTGGATTAGAGTGACACACTACAAGATCAGGGGAAAGACAGAAAACACCACGTTTACCCCCATTCTCGTTTACCTTAGCCAGAACAGAGGATCTGGCTGGATACATTGTAACCTTTATAGGGAGGACAATTTAATGTGTTTTTCTCTTCTATGTAAAAGGAGAAAATTTAGTTTTAGCTTTCTGCTTGGATGTCACAGTCTGTCTAAATGCATGTTTTTCAACTAGAGACACAATTGTATATTTTATAAAATACTTTGTAATACTATGAGCTGCTATTTGTAATGTTTGCAGGCAGGCTACAATGCCTTTATAAATTGGGCCTTATAGCCAGGACCTACCATATTTGAAGCATGAATGTAGTGGAGCCACTTATATATTACCAAAGTCCTTTTGGGAATGATTTACCATTTTGAGGAGTTTATTCAACATCAAGGAGACATTCAACAGTATATATGCAACTGAAGTACATCCCTACCTCTGAGGAGTATGTCTCAAACCAAAAGGAATGATTTAAGAGAACTTGTGTGAGTTTTGTGGCCTGAGGATGATTGCCACAGTGACCTTTTCATGCCTAAATTCTCAGCTACAGCAATTTCTGTCCAAAATAATATTTAGTGTATGCCAACTTACAAATTGTTTCTTTTTGTCAGTAGATAGCCTGTTCATTTCTTCTTTGTCTGCTTTCATCTCTTCTTCATTATACTGGAAATCACGGACCATAAACCTATATTTGGAGAGGAATAAAAAAAAGGCAAGTGGCTGCATAGAGTACCCTTAAATAGGAAATCAATCTCAAGAAGTGATCTTACTTGTATTCCCTGGCTTTGTGTCTGAAGTCATCCACTGCCTTCCTGAACAAGGTGACATTACACAGGTAACTATCTTGGTCCTCAGAAAGAACACTGTGTAAAGGAAAAAGTGTTACAATGCTCAGGTTTCGACTTTTATGGGACTGATGTATTGCAATCAAAATTCTAGTCTGCAGTTGCTCAGAGTTAGTAAGATCAATTTAGTTGCTTATGAATGGTTCTAGAACTGTACTCAGAGGTGCCAAATCCGGGACTGCTTTGGGGCTGGAGCACACACAGGGAAAAATTAGTGGGTGCTCAGCATCCAAACTCATCCCTGAGCCATCTCCTCCCAGCATCTCTGACCTGCCAGCAGCCCTGCTAACCCATCCCTTCCCCGCCCTCCCAGTATTTCCCTCTTGCTGCAAAACAGCAGTTTCACAGGGTTTGGGGTACTCCAGGAGGAAAGGTGAGGAGCAGGGATATGGAGTGCTCTGGGGAGGAAGTGATAAAGAGGTGGGATGGGGGGCAGGGCAGAGAGGCGGCAGATGGGGGGGTCGAGCACCCTCAGCTAGAGCAGAAGTCAGCATTTCTGGCTCTACTACATCTATAGTTCTTCATTTCCGAAGTTAAGCTACATTAGAGAGTAACTGTAGCTCGAACACTCATCTTTGTACTTTTTGAGCAAGATACTGTTTAGTGTTTACTTTCAGTGAATACTTTCTGGTGTAAAACTGTTAGCTGTGCTAAACCTGATATTTCTCCAATTTAAAGCCTTGTCTTATTGGAAATGAACTTGAACTGATTTTGATATATGCAATCATAAGAGTTTTCAACAGTCACATTATTTTTGGTGTCTTTTAGGTGAAAGGAAATGAATGCAAGTACAGAAGGACAGGAGCCAGCAGTGAACTAAGTAGGTGATTGGGTGGCATGGGTCCATGTTAGCCATCTTGGGGTATGTCTACACTACCCTCCTATTTCGAAATAGGAGGGTAATGTAGGCATACCGCAATTGCAAATGAAGCCCGGGATTTGAATTTCCCGGGCTTCATTTGCATAAGCGGGGCGCCGCCATTTTTAAATCCCCGCTCTTTCGAACCCCGTGCCGCGCGGCTACACACGGCACGAACTAGGTAGTTCGGACTGTTCGTGCCCCGTGTAGCCACGCTGCACGGGGTTCGAATGAGCGGGGATTTAAAAATGGCGACGCCCCGCTTATGCAAATGAAGCCCGGGAAATTCAAATCCCGGGCTTCATTTGTAATTGCGGTATGCCTACATTACCCCGCTAGTTTGAACTAGGGGGGTAGTGTAGACATACCCTTGGAACAGGTGCTCTAAAGGAGTCCTGCTAACATCACAACAAAATGTAGATTTCTTCACAAAAGTTAATCTTTCTAAAAGCCCAAATACTAGAATGTCTGCGATGAACAGCTTGAGGGGCTGAGCCTGTTCCCCACTGCCATGAAATCTGTCACAACCCACCTGATTATACCATCTACCCATCCCCAACTCTAAGAGCAAAGCATGCAAGAATATACCTAATTACCAAAATAAGCTACAAGGAAAACAATGCTGCCTCAAAAAAGGAATTTTACTTCCGTAATTATAATGTTTTTAACACTTGGAACACCCTGTTTGCCTTAGCCATCTCTCTTAACACATTCAAATACCTCTAAAAATTCTCACTTCCATTTACAAGTAGTGAAAGGCAGCAAAAGTAACAAAACAAAAGGGCTGGAAGTTAGGCATCAAGATTGTACATGCACAAGTTACCATGTTATATTACTGCTGCCCGTTTGCTCCCTCATCATTTCTCTCACACTTGTTGTGTTAAATTTACATAATAAGATCTTTTCTCCCAATAACTTTTTTTTTTAAATGTACCACCTATGTAGGCACTTTCAGATAATCCAGTTCTGCTTAATATGACTTGGAGACGAAGGAATACATTTGTCCATGTCCCCTTCCTTCAGGAAACTTAAAAAAAGAAGAAGTAAATATCTTATTTCCCCCAGCCAATCCTCTGGCATGTCCCTAAATATTCTTCCCATCAACCCCCACACAAAAGAACCCCAAAGCCTTTAACCAAACTCACCCCCCATACACACTCACATCCAAGATCTGCACTTGCAAGCATCTATACTATTTCTCTGCACCTCCACAGTCACTTCCACATTTTTATATACAGTACCCTCTCTTCCCTCTCACATTTGTACTGGGAATGCACTGACCACCATGGTAGTAGAGTGCAACACATACATTACTGATCTGCATACAATACTAGACCCCTCCCCCCATCCTGTCCCAAGCCCAGATCCAACTGCATCCCCAATTCCATCCTGCATCACTGGAAACCTGATGTTACTTGTTTGAGTCTAGCCCTTCAAGTAAGGGCAACACAGCTATCACTACACCAAGCATGGAATTTACTTGCTTCAAATCTTCAGTCCATTCCTTAAAAATACTGGGTCTGACTGACACCTTCAAGAACTACAGAATTTAGAGAGAATCTTAACCTTCAGAATATTATACATTGAATTGAACTCAGATTAACTATTTCATAATATAATGTAGGTAATTACTTTAAAATTAATTCCTAATCAGCAATTAAAATCCAATTACAAATAAAGGGCCCCAAAGATTTAGGGTCAAGAGGTACTCTTGCTCATGACTAAAACCTAATTAAAGAAAATCAGAGATTTACTTCTGAAAAGGTAAATCATAAATAAGCCACTTACTTGCTGGACCGTGGAACTACCATCTCTGCTAATGTTTCATATTGTTTAACCCAGTCATTGTAATTTGACCTACAGAATAAATAAAATATAATTCAAGTCTAATGCTACAACAACAATGAAATGAGGGTAAAAACCTAATGGGTCACCAAATGCTGGAAGAGAACCCCTGAATATTAAGACAGTATTGCAGTATTTGAAAAATTTTCATCTTCTTGCTAGTCAGGTTTCCCTCTGATAGTTGGAGGACATCAAAAAGTACATGAAATAGGGAACTTGGTCCCCTCTTGTCCTATTTTTCAGGACACAAAATATTGTGAAGGAAACACTGTTAAATGAGAACTCAAAATTAAGGAGGAACAGTATATTATTTTTAAACATATTTTCAAATTCACTTGTGTATATGAGGTCAGCTTTTTTTGTAAGAGTGAAAGGCAGAGATTTTTTAAAAAATCAGGCACAGCTACACAATAATAATTACATGTTTAACATCTCTCAGAAGATCTCCAAAATGTCTGACACTGTTCAATGAAATCTCTCAACACTTTTTTTGGGAACTGGATAAACAGAAGTACAGAGATTAAGAACCAGTTTTTCAGAGACACAATGCACCCAGAACTCAAGATTAGCATGATGGGATATGTGAAGTGTTTTGCTCTTGTTGTGGGCAATGAAACCCATCCCTATACAATCTGACCAAAATCACTAGTCAAAGTCAGAAGGAAAAATATGTTCTTTACTCTCACTTTTCTGACTACTGCTACTAGAATAGATAATATTGCCTTTACTATGGTGTTACACTTAGTAATTCACTATTCAGTACGAATTATTTAGTAAAGTTGAACTTGTATATCATAAATTAGAAGCCCACCATCACCTCTCCACCTCAAGAGAGACAGCTTGGTGACGTAAAGGCAGCAAAACAAAATGCCTAAAAGTTTACTCAGCTTTTGATTCAAGAAATATTCAGTTTGTTTTTTCACCCTATTCGCTCTTAACAAAAACAAACAAAAAAACAAACAAAAAAAGATTTGGATTTTCAAGTTAGCACTTTGGCAGATAGGCAGATTTTCAGTTTGAAGCTATTACTTTCAAAAGTTATCTATATAGTTCTCAGCATGTACCTGACAATTCCTCTTGACACTCATACCAATCAGAGCATTGCTTAAGAGGACTTAGTGAGGTTACAAGACCAGTGAAAGAAATATTCCTTAAATTGCTAGTGGTTCTACATGAATCTAAAGACAATATTCAAGCTCTTTGAGAAGGTAATATAAAGACACTAAACAGATTTAATGTAATGTATTAAAAAGCTGATATAAGCTAATATTTAAATATCACGCACATTAGTAGTAAGTACATATTTTAGGAAAATGAGAAAAGAAATCCCAGATTTCATTCAGTATTTTGCTGGGATTTTATTATTTTATATGGACAACTTTTGTAATGTTAACAAAAGGTGTCATCTTTCCATACAAAACATTGAGAGCCTAATTTCAAATTTCCTATCAGGGCATCTGTTGATAGTAAGAACCTCCTATGAAAGGGCTATAAATTAGCAACAGCAAGAAAATATCCACACACAGACTCATTATGCCACAGGTGAACATTTAAAGATTTGCCTACATTGTTTTCAGTGTCAAGACTGTCCAAAACGCCATACTATAAACCACCCTTTCTTACCACTAACAAAACACATTACATAACTTACATTTTTGCATTTTGGTTATATTTTTACTCAATATTTGGTACCAGGAGATTACTTACTTTGGTATGACCACCACCAATGTAATTAAGTATTCTGAATCGAGTACAAAGTCCTCTTTTTTTACAATATCAGCCAGGCTTCTAGTTAGTAAACTTCCCCTGTAGAAGAACAAAAACTGCTATGGTCAGTATACAGTTCAAATCTTAAATTTGGTCTCATTAACTTTCAGTATTTGGTTAATAACCTTTGTAAAAGTACTTCACTCAAGAACTAATCACTAGTTTGCACAGTGCACTTATTATTCTTTCTGTACCTGAAGTTTCTGTAAAACAGGCTACTTATAAGTTACCAGTGGTTCCACTGTCACTACTACAGCCTCTATGGAGTGGTAGCAGCTGAGAATCCTGACCAATGCATATATGGGGTGTGCGGGCATCAAGTTCCTAAGTCAATTATGTAGTGGTAGGCTCCATTTTCAAAAATGACTTAAGAGGCAAAAGTACAACTGACTTTCACTTAGGAGTCTAAATCACTTCTAATAAAAGGTATCCTTGATGCCTGTATGCATCTCAGAGCCAGTGGGCATGCCCTCCCATAGAGCATGTGACTGAAGTGTGGCCATGCCTGCACAGAGAAACACAAGGTCTGATTACATTTAGGACCTTTTACACAAAGAAGGGAAGGACAGAACGTTGCCCTTAGTTATTTAAAGTTATTCTGACTCTACTTTCACTAAGTTTTATCTTTACCCATCTAAGATGTTATCTCTACATTGCTTAACTAATCTGGACTTTTGAGGACAAGTCACCTGTTACTGTTTGTACTTGAGGACTATATTAAATGCAATATTAATTGGTTTCTTCAGACCGTAATTATAAAAGGAGAAACTTCTTTTAAAGAAATTTAGGTAGATATTTATATCGTAAGAAAACTGTTAGCAACAGAATCATGAAATTAGTAGCATCACGCAAGTAGAATACTGTTTTCATATAGCTACTGTGAAGTAAAAATAGCTATTTTAGGCTTGTTCACCACAGTAAACAAGCTAATTTTCATGACAACCAGAATTCTGAAACAGGCACCTCTAAACCTATCAAGTTGAAATATAGTACCGTATATTCACATTACCAACACTTGGCAGTTAAAGAGCCATTTCTTTGTTCTGTATTAGCAAGGTCTAAGATCACTTACGCATTCTTTCTTTCCAAGTTCTGAAGATTGCCTTTCAGATTGTTATATGCTGATGCTCTTGATTTTAAGTCATTGTCAATCTGGGTTACTCCCTTTAAAAAACAAGATTCAAAAACCAAATTGTTCACTTTAAGTCTCATAAAAGTATAAATTTAGCAAATAAGTTTTTTTTTCCAAACAGTAAAGAAAAATCTACAAAACTTAGATTTCATTATTTATAGCAGGCATTTAACAACATTGGAAAAACAAAGCACTAAACAAGTTGTATTGATACACAATTCTAAAACTAGGAATTTATTGCAAATATTTAAGGCAATCCAGTGAGTAATGTAGGCTGGAACTTACCATTTATGAACCACAAGTGGACATGCTGCTTTTGTTTTCAGAAGTGTCCTGTAGCGATGCATATTTAACTCATCCCCCCTTACCAAATAATATTTATCTGTATTTTTTTCACACCAACTATTTTTACAAGATATTTGATTTATTCAAGAAACTTTTAGAGACCCTACTATTGAAACTGCTCGTCCATTTTGTTTGGTGATTCTATAGCACATTATATGGCCAAGAACACTATATAATAGTTGCAGGAACAGTTTACCACACACGCTTGTACCATATCTCCCTCTCATCCATTTAAGAGGAACTGACCAACTGACAATAGTGGACAGGCTATTTTCTAACACATGATCTTCACTTGTGTAATCAAAAAATATGAGCTGTGATCCTATTTAATCCCCTTCCCAATAAATGTTCATATAACCTTATGTCCACTGATGGGAGTTCAGACATGTTGACCTGTATTAATATTAGATCCTCCAAGTTTAGCTTCCAGATGGTAAAAGAAGTACAGTTTTTGAAACTTCCAAGTAGATTCTCTCTTCACTATTACATACCAAGCTATCTACTTACTATACTTTTAACTTCCTCCTGCTTGGCTTTGATTTCTAATCGTATTATTATTTCTTCTACCAAGCCACTCCTTGGCCAAAGGATGTGAGGCCTTGAATTTAGTATGATTCAAAAAGGGAATGGACATTTACATAGATTTCCACAATAGTTAACAGTATTTTAGGAAGCAATATAAAACTTCATGCAGTAGGCGGAAGTCATATAATCTACTCCCATTCATATCTCTACTTGATACAAATTGGCTTAAAGCCTGAAATGTAGTTTCTTATGCCTTTCTCTGAAGTATATGGCACTGGCCAGTATCAGAAACAAGAAAACTGGAGTAGATGCACCATGGGTCTAAATCCAGTAGGAAAATTCCTGCTCCAATTCTCAGATTTATACTACACCATTCTGTTGAAAATGAAGCAGTTCCCTGATTGTACACTTTGAAGGGAAGATGTAACAAAGTTTGCATCAAAATGTCATTTGCCAATTTCCTTTAGGAAGTTTCAGTCTTGTTTTATATCTTGGCATAACATCAAGCTACCTCGCTTCAAGTCTGTAGCGGTTTGTTATAACTAAAATTAGGGGAATCTGTTTCAGCATGTTTCATGAGAGTTTTTTCATTTAGTAAAGACTGCCATAGGATATTTTGGCTTGTGCTGAAGCTGCACTGGGCCGTGTCCAATATTGTTATTACTGGTCAAAAATCAAAGCTTTTCAAAATTAAAAATCATAGAGCCGGATTTATTTCATTACCTACAGATAATTGGGTATGTCTTACCTCCTTTCTTTCCTCCAAGATTATTTTGTCCTCTTATTCACTCATTGCTCTGGGTCTGATTATACCAAATTGCATTAGTCTAGGACTGGGTGGTTAATAATTTTTAATGGTAAGTGATCAAGGGCCATACTTCTGTGGAGGAGGCGCAGGATCTGGGATGGTGGGTGGGGTGTAAAAGGAAGTCTGGCTGAACAAGGGGGTTATGATTTGGGGCCAGGGAATGGGGTACGGATCAGGGAGGGGGTATGAATGCAGGAAAGGATTCTGGTCAGGGGGTAGAGCGTAGGCGTGAATGCAGGGTCTGGGAGGAAGTTGTGACCTGGAGGAAGTGGGGAGAGGGGATACAGTGGGTTTGGGTGGTGGCCTGGGTCGGGGAAAAAGAGTGGAAGAGGCAGGCTCTGGCTGGGAGGTACTTACCTAGGCGACTCCCAGGCAGCAGCTCTACAAGAACCCTACCTGTGTGCTGGGTGGGCTGCTCCACATTGCTCTGCTCCAGCACAGGAAGGCAGGAGGGTGGAAACGAGGAGGTTTCATTCACTGCCCCTGCCTTTAGCAAAATTTCTCATCTCCTTTGGGGAATTTTGTTGGGGGGAAAGCTTTCTGCTCCCTGCCCAGTTTGCAGAGCAATTAGCAGCCTGCTGTTTAAAGCACATGCAGCTGCTCTATGGTAAGGGTGCTGGCAAGGTGGCCATGGGCCAGATCAGATTTGCAAGCCATCTCTAGCCCACCCCTAGTCTAGGTGCTAATTTCAAATAGAGGGCATCTTTGGCATTACAGACAGATTCTCTTTCCATCTCAGGGCCATCTTGCTATAAGATTCTATTAAGCTTTATGTCTAACCACACCTCTAGTCTCTTAATATTGCCTACTTCTTCCCTGGTGTACTCTGCCTTCCAGGTTTACAGTGTCATTGTGGACCTTTAATGAACTTTTGAGCTTAGACACAGCGATGGTAAAATAGATATTCCTTTATCAAATGGAATTTAGGAAGAGAGTTTATATTTGGATTTCACTGACATTCAATACAGAGTGTTGCCACATAGAATCATAGAACACCAGGACTGGAAGGGACCTCGAGAGATCGAGTGTAGTCCCCTGCCCTCATGGCAGGACCAAATACTGTCTAGACCCTCCCTGATAGACATTTATCTAACCTACTCTTAAATATCTCCAGAGATGGAGATTCCACAACCTCCCTGGGCAATTTATTCCAGTGTTTGACTACCCTGACAGCTAGGAACTTTTTCCTAATGTCCAACCTAAACCTCCCTTGCTGCAGTTTAAGCCCATTGCTTCTTGTTCTATCCCCAGAGGCCAAGATGAACAAGTTTTCTCCCATGACAACAGCCATTTCCACTATTCAATCATTTTAGCTAAACTGAGGAGGGTAGAGAGCATATGACCATGTGCCAACTGAAACTATATGGTCAGTCTCTTCAATATTTAAAGCAACCCCATATACCACCCTTTTCAAGTCCTGAAATACTCCACCTCAGCCCATTCAAGTTATAGCAATATGAGTTTACATAAGGATGTAAAAGGTTAACCAATTAGTCCATAAGCATTAAACTTACTGTTACGTTAATCGACGTTTATGGTTAACTCCCAGACCTGGTGAGGCCTGAACCGCGTCAGTGAACTGTTAAACAATGTAATTTTAATTGTTTAACCACTTAACTTTTTAAACAATATTCACATTGCTAATTTGCTCAATATTAGAATCAAATTAAGGGCTGTTAGAACTCAGGGTTCTGATGTTAAACTTGAAAAGGCATGAAATGGTTTCCATTAAATACAAGGTTTACATTTTTATTCCATGGTTTTCAGTATCTCCACTATTAAAATTATCCAATGCCACGGCTGACGACATGGTGATAACTGTATAAATATATTGTGAGAGAGATTGTTATTTAACAACTATGTTAGCCAAAAATGTATTTGTATTTATAGAGTTAAGGACTACAAAACGCTATGAATTCCATCAAGTCAATGATGTCTGAGCACTGGACTTTATGTTTATATTAACATATCCAGGCTTCTACCTCCACTCCTCATCTACCCTGAAATAACAGAAGTGAAACACATAGCAAAATTAATTATTCTACTTCCATGAAACATCCTTATTTCCATTCCTCTCCCCCCATTAAAAAACAGAGCTATGTCTCCATTGTACTCACGGATACAAACTTTGTTGATTTTTTACCATGATTGCTTCCACGGTTAGGGTTTTTGTTTGTTTGCTTGCTAGCAACAGATACCCTGAACCCATTCCCAGCTACCAAGATTATGTCTCAGGGACTAAACTCAAAATCACTTCCTCAATGCGCCAGAGAACACGGGAGCTTATAGGCCAGCTTCAGTAGCTTATCTCACTGGTTCCCAAGGCCTCAGCTACTATGTTCTTCAGGTTACCTACTTTGCCAGCCTACACTTCACTAACTTTTGCTCCCTGGTTGCGGGGCTCAACTTGAGGTGTCTCAAATCCCTGCTCCATGATTCCATGGAATAGTTCAAGGAATGTGCACTGTGATCAAAACAACTTCCCCTTGTGAGAAAAGCTTCATAGTCATATGGTAAATGAGAACCAGAAGTTATGTTTAATGCACAAGATTTTTATATCCCTTCCAAAATATCTCAGGCTTCAGGGTTTAAGGTAATCTTTCACTATTAGGAATCAGCATGACACTTTCATGTGGAGCAGATTACACCACATCTGCCTACAGTGAGGTTTCACACATTTGGGGCTGGCCATTCTCAGACAGGACACTGGCTGACTACATGATCCACATTCTAATGGTGGGCAATTCCCATGCAGTAAGAGGCAAATGTAGGCAAGTCCTGAAAGGAAAAGGTGACAAACAAGTTGTCTGGCCTTGGCTGCAGCAAAACGGTACAATTTCATGCCATCTAGAAAATTCCCAGGTATGCAGCTGCAGAATTGCAAAGTCCATAGAGCCTGGATTGAGATCAGTGTGGCTGGTCAGCCCTCAGAACGATCATTTCATGCTCTCTACAGACTTAAAAAAACCACTATCAGTTCATCTGCGGTTTTCCTCAACTCATAAAATGGATGAAAAATATTGGCTCCCCCCCCCCCCCCCACACACACACAAAATCAAAAGCGAGTTTGTGGTGCACAGTTTTGTGGAAAGTGGGCAAGAACTTTAGCAACTTCCAAGACAGTGGGGAAGTGGGAGAGAAATCAGAGTACACTACCCTGCCTACATCTGAGCTATGCAAAACACAATTAAATTAAACTTATGTTTGTGTAGTTCTCTACACAATTTCCTTTCCCCCGCTGCTGGAGAATTAAATTTCGATTACTATTTTTATAGCTAATTTCCATAGCAGGACCAACAACGAGAGAAGATTTAATAGCAAGAACTCCATACTCTTATTTATTAAACAAAACCA